AATACAATAACCTCCTTCTTTGCCTGTTTAGGTAAGTGACACACACAGTCCGCAATGGCCAATAGTAGTCTCAACTTATAAATCAAGGACATAAATCAATTATGTTCCCTGGTGGAAGCATTCCTTCCTTGGGAACTCTAAGCCAACAGAACCTTATCAAAGATAATAAAAGATAGAGGAGAAATTATGTGATTGGACTATTAGGATATGCTCCTGCTTCTACACCTTCAACCCCAGACCTGAGTATTCTGGCTGTGGAAGACAGCACATATATTGGTCACTGGTTTAAAACACACACACAAACACACACACACACACACACACACACACACACACACCCCTTGTAGGACATACTCCAGTCTTTACAGTGTTTTCTTCCAAAGTATGCTGTAACAGTCTTCAGTAGGCTATTCCACTCAGGTCAGCAGTTTCTGAGTGTTCAGGTATGTGGTATGACCAGTAAATGACACGAGCACGAGCCCATTTTGACTCTTCTATTTCTGTTAAATGAATTGTTTGGTAAGAAGTGATGTATGAGTTACTTTGATGAATAAAACATTCCATTATTCTAGGGAAGATGGTACTATCAGAATCATTATAGACAGAAAAGGTAAATCCATATCCATATGTTAAGTGATTATTCAATGGGAATAAATTACCATGCACTGCGCATTGGAGGACCAGTCCTGGCCTATGCTGCTGGCAGGGTAAACACTTGGCAATTGTTACTGGATCACCTTTGGTGAGGTGAAGTCTGTGTTGTTGAGCCTATCCCTGCTATCATGGTCACCTTGAACATGGGTAATTAAGCAAGTACTGGGTAGAAAGGGGACTGGCTGACACCCTCAGAGTATGTGTTTCTGTCTACATGATTATTCTATGGTAGGTGCCCTTTGGTGAACACCCACATTGATACAAATATCCTCATACTCTAGACCCTTTCAGAGGGGTTCATTCCCATATCTCTTCCCTAGATCTCCTTCTCATCAATTCTCACCAATTTTCTAATATTATTTTTTCCAAAGTCCTTGACAACCTGGCTGATTCTTTAATCCTTGTCTATGGACCAATATGACTTCTCATCTCTAAGTATTTCACATTGACCAAGTTGTTGATGAAATGGACTGCTTGGAGTTCTGCTAGGTGAGATAATTTATCTTCAACACTGTCTTTCAGGAATATTTTTAACTACAGAAGTCTACTTCCCGTTGGTGCAAGTATCCTTAGGTCTGAGTTTTTCTTCCTCAGCCAATTGGTAATAAGGAATTTATGGGAATACAAAGGGGAGAGGAAGCAATGAAGCAGGAGGAAGTGTCATGTGAATCTGAGCAAGTTGTTCATGCAATTTATTTGTGCTTTCAGAATTTATTTTTTATCTCTATTATATAAATTCTATTTAATTATTAACTGTTGCTGTGAATGCTCAACCCTATTGCTTAATGAATTGGGTCATACCAGGTCCACAACGGGGAACTCAGATTACATGTCTCATGGTTAAATATTCTAACTGTACAGAAACCCAATAGGGGTCAGGCTTGGTGACTCAGCCTGTAATCCCAGCACTTTGAGAGGCCGAAGCGAGTGGATTGCCTGAGGTCACAGGTTCGAGAACAGCCCAGGCAACTTGGTGAGACCTCATCTCTACAATAAATAAAAAATTAGCTGGGCATGGTAGCGTGTGACTGTAAGTCCAGCTACTTGGAAGGCTGAGACAGAAGGATTGCCAGAGCCTAGCAGGTCAATGCTGGGGTGTCCATGAGTGTGTCACTGCACTCCAGCCTGGGTGACAGAGTGAGACTCCAACTCAAAAAAAAAGAATACCATGGGGATGAACTCTTCAAAATCAAGTTTAGGGGAAGCTACAGAGAAATAACCTGGTCTTGGCCGGGTTCGGTGGCTCAGCCTGTAATCCCGCGCTTTGGGAGGCCGAAGTGAGTGGATTGCCTGAGCCCGCGGGTTCGAGGCCCGCCTGGGCAACTTGGCGAGACCTCATCTCTACAATAAATCAAAAAAAATTAGCCAGGTGTGGTAGCATGCGCCTGTAGTTCCAGCTACTTGGAAGGCTGAGGCGGAAGGATTGCCGGAGCCCAGCAGGTCGAGGTTGCAGTGGCCGGGAGCGGCCACTGCACTCCAGTCTGGGTGACAGAGTGAGACTCCAACTCAAAAAAAAAGAATACCATGGGGATGAACTCTTCAAAATCAAGTTTAGGGGAAGCTACAGAGAAATAACCTGGTCTTGGCCGGGTTCGGTGGCTCAGCCTGTAATCCCGCGCTTTGGGAGGCCGAAGTGAGTGGATTGCCTGAGCCCGCGGGTTCGAGGCCCGCCTGGGCAACTTGGCGAGACCTCATCTCTACAATAAATCAAAAAAAATTAGCCAGGTGTGGTAGCATGCGCCTGTAGTTCCAGCTACTTGGAAGGCTGAGGCGGAAGGATTGCCGGAGCCCAGCAGGTCGAGGTTGCAGTGGCCGGGAGCGGCCACTGCACTCCAGTCTGGGTGACAGAGTGAGACTCCAACTCAAAAAAAAAGAATACCATGGGGATGAACTCTTCAAAATCAAGTTTAGGGGAAGCTACAGAGAAATAACCTGGTCTTGGCCGGGTTCGGTGGCTCAGCCTGTAATCCCGCGCTTTGGGAGGCCGAAGTGAGTGGATTGCCTGAGCCCGCGGGTTCGAGGCCCGCCTGGGCAACTTGGCGAGACCTCATCTCTACAATAAATCAAAAAAAATTAGCCAGGTGTGGTAGCATGCGCCTGTAGTTCCAGCTACTTGGAAGGCTGAGGCGGAAGGATTGCCGGAGCCCAGCAGGTCGAGGTTGCAGTGGCCGGGAGCGGCCACTGCACTCCAGTCTGGGTGACAGAGTGAGACTCCAACTCAAAAAAAAAGAATACCATGGGGATGAACTCTTCAAAATCAAGTTTAGGGGAAGCTACAGAGAAATAACCTGGTCTTGGCCGGGTTCGGTGGCTCAGCCTGTAATCCCGCGCTTTGGGAGGCCGAAGTGAGTGGATTGCCTGAGCCCGCGGGTTCGAGGCCCGCCTGGGCAACTTGGCGAGACCTCATCTCTACAATAAATCAAAAAAAATTAGCCAGGTGTGGTAGCATGCGCCTGTAGTTCCAGCTACTTGGAAGGCTGAGGCGGAAGGATTGCCGGAGCCCAGCAGGTCGAGGTTGCAGTGGCCGGGAGCGGCCACTGCACTCCAGTCTGGGTGACAGAGTGAGACTCCAACTCAAAAAATAAAAATAAATAAATAAATAAATAACCTGGTCTGAGAAATACATTGCAAGGAAAAGAAAGAAATGAAGCAGAAAACCAACCTACAGACTAAATGACACAATTACTGTGTGAGCTTTATCTGGCTCATGATAGGAATGAATAGACTATTAAAAAATGTATGTAACAATTAGGTGAATTTGCTGACTGTGATATTGGTTAACATTAGGGAATTGTTGTCAATTTTAAGAATGATAGTGGTATTGTAGTTATTTTAAGAGTATCTCTTGGCTGGGCTCAGTGGCTCAGCCTGTAATTCCAGCACTTTGGGAGGCCAAGGCGAGTGGATTGCCTGAGCTCACAGGTTCGAGACCAGCCCTGGCAACTTTGCATGACCTCATCTCTACAATAAATAAAAAAGTTAGCCAGGCATGGTAGCACACACCTGTAGTTCTGGGTACTTGGAAGGCTGAGGTGGAAGGATCATTGGAGCGCAGCAGGTTGACACTGGGGTGGCCATGAGTGTGCCATTGCACTCCAGCCTGGGTGACAGAGTGGAACTCCAACTCAAAATAAAAAGAGTATCTCCTAAAGATACACATTGAAATATTTATAAATGAAGTTATACAATATCAGGGATTTGCTCGAAAATAATCTATAGGAAATATTCAGAATACAAACAAGATTGGTCAACAGTTGATAATTATTGAAACTGGATATAGGTAAAATGTGTATTTATTATACAGATTTCTTTTCATACTTTTGCACATGTTTGAAAATGTTCATAGTCAAAAGGTATAAAAACTAACCAAAAGAATACAAAGGTAGTAACATTAAAATTGGCTAAAGTTAAATTAAATGAAAAAGTAGTTTGCAAAACAAAGAAAGACTTTATAATGTTAAAGGAGATAATCCACAATAAAGTTATAGCAGTCTTGAATCTTTTTGCAAAAAACAAAATTCATAAGACAAAACTGCAAAAAAAGGAAAGAGATTGGCAAAAACATAATAACAGTAAAAGACTGTAACTCATTTCTCTCAGCGTATGACAGATAAAATGGACAAAAAAAAAGTAGACCTATAAAGGCTCTGAATTATATAATCAATAAGGTTGAATTCTATATCCCGAGCCTAGTGAATACTATTTTCAAGTACCAACACAACATTTATAAAAATCAATCTTGTGTCAGGCCACAAAGAAAACCTACATAAATTCCAAAAAGTAGAATAGAATCAGACCCCGTTTTCTGTTTTAATAATACAGTAAAACTGGTAATTAGGATACAAAACAATATTATATACTGATGGTGGGAATATAAAAATGATAGTCACTGTGCAATACAGTTTTGGCAGTTTTTGATAAGTTAAGCATATATCCATCATATGGCCCAAACATTTCACTCCTAGGTATTTACCAAATACAAAAGAAAGTATATGTCTATAACAAAGACTTAAACATAAATATTCACAGCAGCTTTATATGTAATAGCCAAAAACTGGATACTACTCTAATGTAGTAGTAACTGAATGAATAAACTAGTTGTGGCAATTCATGCAATGGAATACTACTCAGTAATGAAAAATATGAACTATGGCTACATGGACCAATATGAATGACTCTCAAAATAATTATGTTGAGTAAAAGAAGCCAGGCCAAAAAAAAATACATATTGTATGATTCCACTTATATGAAATTCTAGAAAATGCTAATTAATCCATAGTGACAGAAAGTAGATCAGTGGTTGCTTGGGAAGGTGGTGATCACAAAGGGGGAAACTTGGAGATTATGGATATGGCTGTCATTTTTATTGTGTTGATTCTTTCATAGTTATATATATTTGTCAAGGCTTATCAAATTGTATACCTTAACTATGTATGTAGTTTATTGTATGTCAATTATACTTCAGCTTTTTAAAATATTAGGAACAGAGTTAATAAGAAATATATGGGACCTAAATGAAGAAAAATTTTAAAGCCTATCAAAAAGCAACATAACATAGATATGAACCGATACAAAGACAGACTTTACTCTTTGATGGGGACACTCGATTTCATCAACCTTGTGCAATAAAAATATCAAGGGATATTGATTCACTTGTTTATTTTAAGTTGAAAAATGATTCCAAAATTATTCTAGAAAAATGAAACACATGAAAATGTTCAAGATATTCAGACATAGAAGAGTAACATGGGTACTGGAATAGACAAATCAATGGAAGAGAATTGAGAGTACAGAAATAAACCCAAGAATAGACAGAAGTTTGGGATATAATAAACATGGTATTTCATACCAGTGGGGAGAGGATGGCTTAATCATTGAGATAATATAATGCTTTCACTCTTGGGAAGTGGAGGAGTTATATCCCCCTCTCACCACCAAACAAAACTCAAAAGAAAAAAATTTAATTATAAAAACGAAACCATCAAAGTGCTAAAATTAAATATGGATAAACATTTTTATAGCTATAGAATGAGGAAAGCCTTTAGCAAGTTTGGAGCAAAATTTAAAATGTATAATGGGAAAAGCTGGTTAATTTAACCACAGTAAAAGTTTAAAACTTCTGTAATTAAAAAATAGTCAAAAATCATAAACTGTGAGAAACATGTGCAATACATATGGCCAACAAAAGGTTAATTTTCTTGGTTTACAAAGATCTATTTACATATCAGTAAGATAAAGAGAAATAATCCAATAAAAATGGACAAAATAAATGAGCAAGGCAAAGGAGAAAGATATAAATAACCATCAAGCATGCAAAAAGATGCCAAATCTTATTAAAATTGAAGAAAATGTAAATTAAAGCATTATTTTAGTTATCCATTGCTGAGTGACAAATCATTCCAAAGCTTAGTGTCCTAAAAGAACAAATATATATATTATCTCTGGCAGTTTTTGTAGGTCGGGAATTCAGAAGCTGCTAAGCTGGACAGTTCCAGTTCGGAGTCTTAGATTGTCGTCAGGATTTTGACTGGGCCTCCTGTCATCTGAAGGCTTGAGATGGTCTAAAGGATCCATTTCCAAGGTGGCTCATTCACATGACTGACTGTTGGCAAAATGCTCCAGTTCCTCCCCAAGTGGACCTTTCCGCACTCCTGTTTGAGCTGCTTTACCACATGGTGCCTTCCTCACAGCAAGTAATCCAAGAGAACAGGGCAGAAGCTATAATGACTATATGATCTAACCTTAGCAGTCACAGATACTACTTCCTCCATAGTGTATTGGTCACACAGGACCAGCTTCATGGGCAGGCAATCTGTGCATCACACAGGGCCCTGTACTCAGAAGAGCCCTGCATCTGGCTTAAAGCTCTGCTGTTGCCATGTTGATATCCTTTATAATTTTATCTTTGAACCTTTGTTTTAAGAAGTGAATCCAGTGGGGCAATGGGGTATGTGTATGAGCAGATACACATAATATGTGTGTCCACTACCATTCTTTGCCACCCAATTTGCATATAGCATTAGTCATGCACCATATTCTAGTGGAAGTTCAATGAGACTCAAAGCAAAGACAAGGTAGTGCATTTTGGAAGCTACCAGCTTCCACAGAGTATAGGTAGATTGTGCATGTATCAAGAAGCAAAATTTTAAGAGTTAATTTTGTTCATTTAAAAGCATAATTTTGTCCTGCTAAGAACAAAATGCACATTCATGGACAAGTCACAAAATATGAATTGTGAAATTTTGGTGATTCCATATGAGTTAAATGAACTTATATTTGCATTTAAAGCTGGTGTTGCACAATATAAAGATGAATAGTAAAATTTGTGCTAAAATTTTAACATTTTAATTACTTGGGATGACACTAGATAGCAAATAAGAACACCATGACAAGTTTAGAGAAAGCCTGTGGAAGAAAGGAAAAAAGGTTTATTTATAGTACTTTTATTAGTACATTTTTCTGCTTTTCCAGTAAGTCCTACAAATTATGAAGCCAGTTATGGTTACAAAGACCCTGCACTGATTCAATGGATTACAGTGGATTACTAAATGAAACTAGAATGGCAATGATTCAATCTCATTGATTCATTGATTCAATGAGAGGAGACTCACAGACTGTGCATGCCAGGAGGATGGGATCATTGGAGGCCATCTAGGAGGTCACTAACACCAATTGGTTCATTTACAACCTCTAAAGTAGGCAAAGAGTTCAAGAGTTGAGGATGTGGAAAAACAGGTGTAGGCCAGGTTCAGTGGCTCATGCCTGTAATCCCACACTTGGGGAGGCCAAGGTGGGAGGATCACTTGAGATTAGGAATTTGAGACAACTGGGCAACATGATGAGACCCATATCTACAAAAAAAAATTTTTTTAACCTAGCCAGGCATAGTGAAAGGCAGATCGCTTGAGCCCAGGAATTCAAGGTTACAGTGAGCTATGATTGTGCCACAGTACTCCCCCAGGGCTACAGAGTAAGACCCTGCAATACAGGTAGGTGTATTGTAGTTGAGAGGATCCACTGGTAAATTTTTGGAGGCAATATTGGTGAAAAATTTAAATGCAGAAAATCTATGACCCAGCAAATTCATTTATAGGAATTTTGTTCAAAAGCACTCCCACTATTGTGTAAAAGTATACATACAAAGGTATTAATTTCAACATTGTTAGTAGTAGTGAAAAATTGGAAACAACACTACAAGTAGTAGTGAAAATTTGCAAACAGCATAGAGACATCTTTATCTCTTGACAGGAAAAGACATCTACAGTGGATTACTAAATGAAACTAGAAGCTTTTAGCTTATTATGTCGTAGGATACTACTCATGATTTTTTGGAAACAGGAGATGTTAATAGTGGTTATTGTTGGAGAGTGAGATGGGTAAGTACTGACAGGATGGAGTAAGAAGAGGGATTTTACTTTATCTACCTGTTTCTTATGGATGACAAACATATGATTTTAAATTTCTAACTACATTTTGAATTGTAATATTAATATTTTTATCCTATTCTAATTTGTTAATGATGCCTTCCAATTATACAATTTTAAAAAAAGATAATCACATAATTAATTCACATGTTCAAATCATGTTTATCTGCTGATCAGAACAAAGTCAAAAATAGAGATTATGTATATGTCACCAGAGCCTGCTCCCAGATTGCCAAAAATCCATTAATCAATTTTTTTTTGAGACAGGGTCTCCCAAGTTGAAGTACAGTGGCACAATCACAATTACTGCATCCTCAGACTTTTGAGCTCAAGAGATCCTCCTGTCTTAGCCTCCCAAGTAACTAGAACTACAGGGGCACACCACTATGTCCAGCTATTTTTATTAAAAAAAAAAAAAATTTGTAGAGATGAGCTCTCACTATGTTATCCAGGCTGGTCTCAAACTCCTGGCCTCAAGCTATTCTCCCACATCAGCCTCCCAAAGTGCTAGGATTGCAGGCATGAGTCACCATAGTCAGCCAAATCAATATTTTTAAAATAAGATTATTTTTCAGTGAGGTCTACTTTATTGCTTTGACATCAAAGCACTTGGGCTATCTTTGTAGGAGTTTCTGCATTTAAAACTTAGATGTACCATGTGTTCAGCATTCTCCTAAGAGCAGGTCTAGCACACCTATCTAAAAAGAAAGTCCAATGGCCCCTTTTTTCCTTTTGAAGTGATTACAAACTATTTCCAGCTGGTTTTGCCCTGCTAAGCACCAAAACCTTGCTTACAGTACTGTACTCTGGCAGGGTCTACCTGGCCCAGGTGACGAACAAAATGCAAACTAGTGGCCCATGTGCCATATTCAGCTCATGTGTATTTTTTTTTTTTTTTTTTGGTCCCACACAGTGACTTTTCAATTGTTGAATTAGTTGTCCAACTTAAAAATAGTGATACTTCAGATAAGAATCCAAATTTCAAGCCTGTTTTTAAAAAATTAGAAGCCATAGAACTACTTAGACCTTATTTTATGATGATAACAAGAAACTGGAGCTGAGAACACCTACCCTCTTTTTTTCAGAGCATAAACTCCCCAGTTTGTCACAGTCTCCACCACTCATGATCATACACCTAGTTTGTTTCAACCACTTACATTTCTTGCCTAGCTCTATAGACATTTGAGTATAACTGGTTTACTAAGAAACTCTTATTTTATAATGTTTATTTGACAGCCATGTATATAAAGTTTACTATGTGCCATGCTTGTGTCCAAGTGCTTTATAAGGAGTAATTCATTCAATTTTTAAAATAACTGTCTAGAATTGATATTCTTATTATCCCCACTTTAAAGATGAAGTAACTGAGATTCATAGGAATTAAGTCACATATCAAAGGTCACTCAGCTCATAAGAGGAGAAATCAACATTTTAATGCAAGTACTTGCCTTTAAAAAAAACTGTGCTTTTAACCACCATTATGAAATCATTTTATTTATTTCTTCTTCTCTAGAAAAACACTATTCCAGCCAGTTATGGTGGCTCACACCTGTAATCCCAGCACTTTGGGAGGCAGAGGCAAGAGGATTGTTAGAGCCCAGGGTTTCGAGACCAGCCTGGGCAACTTGGAGAGAACTTATCTTTACAATTTAAAAAAAAAAAAGGCCGGGCTTGGTGGCTCAACCTGTATGTAATCCCAGCACTTTGGGAGGCCAAGGCAAGTGGATTGCCTGAGCCCACAGGTTCGAGACCAGCCCAGGCAACTTGGCAAGACCCTGTCTTTACAATAAAATAAATAATAGCCAGGCATGGTAGCACACGCCTGTAGCTCTGGCTACTTGGAAGGCTGAAACAGAAGGATCGCCGGAGCCCAGCAGGTCGACCCTAGGGTGGCCATGAGCGTACATGCCACTGCACTCCAGCCTGGGCAAAGGAGTGAGACTCCAACTCAAATATATATATATTAGCCGGGCATGTTGGCATGTGCCAGTATGTGCCCATAGTTCCAGCTACTTGGAAGGCCAAGGGAGAAGGATTGCCTGAGCCCAGCAGGTTGAGTCTGCAGTGGCAGCAAGCATTCCACTGCACTCCAGCCTAGGCGACAGAGTAAGAATCCAAAACAAAGGAAAAAAAAAAGAAAGAAAAAGAAGAAAAGCATCATTCATACCGGGTAAAGGGCTCTCTTAACTTTTCAGACCACTTTTAAAAATTCTATCACTTTTTTTTTTTTTTTAGTCGGAGTCTCACTTTGTTTCCCAGGCTGGAGTGCAGTAGCAGTTCACAGCTCACCACAGCCTTGAACTCCTGGGCTCAAGTGATCCTCCCACCTCAGCCTCCTGAGTAGCTGGGACTACAGATGTGCGCCACCACACATGGCTAATTTTTTAAAATTAATTAATTAATTAATTTTTTTTTTTTTTGAGTTGGAGTCTCACTCTGTCACCTAGACTGGAGTGCAGTGGCCGCTTCCGGCCACTGTAGCCTCGACCTGCTGGGCTCCAGCGATCCTTCCACCTCAGTCTTCCAAGTAGCTGGAACTACAGGCGCAAGCTACCACGCCTGGCTTATTTTTGATTTATTGTAGAGATGAGGTCTCACCAAGTTGCCCAAGCGGGTCTCGAACCCACGGGCTCAGGCAATCCACACACCTTGGCCTCCCAAAGCGCTAAGATTACAGGCTGAGTCACTGAGCCTGGTGTGGTTAATTTTAAAAAATTTTTTTGTAGAAAAGACAAGGTCTCACTACGTTGCCCAGGCTGGTCTTGAACTCCTGGACTCCTCTCACCTCAGTCCCCAAAGTGCTTGGATTACAAGTGTGAGTCATCGCTCCCAGCCCCCATCACCTTTTAATTTAGGATTCAGTCCAAATCACTTTAATGCATCAATCGCAAATATGATTTTAAGCCCCCCTCTCTACCTCGCACCCCCTACCCCCAACTAGAGTATAGAGTCACAGAGCAGAAGTAGTGGGGCAGATCTGTTCCATGTCTACCTCTTCCTTGTGATGCCTCCTCTCTGCAGAGCAGGTGGATGGATAGGAAAACAGAGTGTTCTATGTTTCAAGCCTCTCTTAGCTCATTGTCTGTAGGCTTGATGTGGACAATGGTGGCTTCAACCAGCCCAGTTGGTGAGGTGCTAGCACAGGAGACTTAGTCACATCTTCACACTGATGCCGAGGTGGTGGCATCATGTTGCCTTCCTAAGACGTTTGTGCCTCTCCATTCACCATTGTGGTGGTCCCTACAAGACTCAAACTCCCTTATGTCTTCTGCTCTCCATGGCAACCCATGGGTTCTTGTGTATATGTGGGATCTCTCTGACATGTGTTTTGGCTACTGGGAAGTAGGGCAAGGGATCCTGGGCCTTTCTCTGTCTGACCATCCCATGCATGCTTCTTCAATGTTTTCTTCCCTTGCTCTGGTAGCACAAAGAAAGGTCATCATGTCAACTGACTAAGCAAGCCCACAATCAGAGATAGAATCATCACTTCCTCTTCTTACAGGCTTTCCCAAATTCTAGGAACAATCTCTTGCGGGTTCTCTGACCTGGCTTTGAAGAAGAAAATGGAGGAGAGAGGCTCTTCATAAATACCGCATGGCCCTACAGGGTGGTTTCTCCTTCCCAGTCCTTTGTGGAGACGAAACCCTGTGCCCTGAACTACAGCAGCAGTTCCCAAACTCTGCTCCCTGGAACACCATTCCTATGAGATATTGCAACAATAAAGGATCCTGCAGGTGAATTCGATTGGGATGAGCTACATAGTCTGCCTCTTTTATGAAGAGTCTCAGATTTACTAGATTTGTCCCCCTTTTGTTAAATTCTCTAATGGATTAGCGGCTCAAAGAATTCCCACTGTAAAGGTGGTTTACCTAGACTTTAACCTAGCATTTCCCAAACTTGTTTGACTATGAAATTAGTTCTGCCCTACACTTATTGCTGTGCCAGTCACAGACCCAGGCAAGTGGGATCCACAGGTCACAAACACTGCTCAGGTTCCAGAGAAAAGCTGTCCTGTATCACTTTCACTGCATCATCAAAACCGAAGGTGACTATGTCAAAACACAGTGAAGGCTTGTGGGTGGTTCTGTTGTGGTGTAGACAATCAGTGCAGGCTGGGATTCTGGAGATGTGAGTGGAAGATAAGAGAAAAGAAAAATGGATGTGTCAATTCTTCTCAGATAACATGAAAATAATACATTTTGGTAAAACAAAATATCCTTTTTCTGGTAGGACCAAGCATCCTTTTATTTCTTTGTATTCCAATGCATGGCTCTGGTGTGGATTGGCAGGGTATCTGCCAACAGTTGCCCAGTGTGACTGAAGAACATTTTACAATACCAAGCAATTAAAACTAATCTTGATGTGTGTGTGTGTGTGTGTGTGTGTGTGTGTGTGTGTGTGTGTGTGTGTGTGTG